ACTATGTGGGTATATACACATACAGGGTGGTCATAATTAAAATAGGAATATTCAGGGACAATGTAGGTCAAGATCATTTTATAAAAAGGTCACAGTGGTGGATAGCTTAAAAAGATCTCACAAATCCAATTTGTATTTACTTCGTACAAGGCGGCAGCCTTCTGCAGCATGTACTGGAGGTCACAATCGGCTACAGCTACTGATCAGTGTATTCTGACAGGGAAGTCATCCCGCTGTCAGAATACAGCATCTTCGTGGAGAGGGCTCCTCTATCCACCTTGCTTGCATGGATGGGGAAATCAAATTTTTTTAAAAAAAAAATCTGACTTCTAACACCTTAAAGTGCTGTGTAAATTGATGGTGCTATACAAGTACCTGTAATAAAAATAAATTGTAAAAAATAACACCATATTTATGGTGTTATTTTTTACAAATTTTTATTACAGGTACTTGTATAGCACCATCAATTTACACAGCGCTTTACATATATTGTACATGCACATCAGTCCCTGCTCTCAAGGAGCTTACAATCTAAGGTCCCTAACTCCCATGCATACATACTAGGGCCAATTTATACAGGATCCAGTTAACCTACCAGCATGTCTTTGGAGTGTGGGAGGAAACCACAGTACCCGGAGAAAACCCACACAGGCACAGGGAGAACATGCAAACTCCACTGTGCTGCCCCTTGATCTACACTGGCTATATATGGTCGATTTCACTATGGCCACCCTGTGCGTGTATTTTCCCCAGTCAAATCGTTTTATTGTTACTATGCACAATGTACTGCATTCTAATAACACGTTAGAGCCATGATGTATAAACAAGAACAAATTTTCCACCGGTAGATAAATAGATAGCTGGTATTTATATATTTATATTTTATGAAGCTGTATAAAGACCGGTTAAAAAAAAAAAAAAAAAAAGAAAAAACAAACTTGATTCAGAGAAAAGAAATTTACATTATACAACACTATTTGCCAAGGCAATATAGAAGAGACCCAAATGTACACTGAAATATTTTTTTCGTCCCTCCCCGGACAGTGGGGAGGTGACAGTGACATGTACAGCCAAAAGGTTTACAAATGTACACCTGTACAATCAACTACAAAATGAGCAAGGCTTGTAGTAAACAATGAAACTGTAAACGGTCAACTACTCATTAGTTACACTTGTACAATACAAAGCATATACTTATATAAACAGAGAAAATTACAAACGTAAAGCAGTTCGAATATATTTATATGTATATATATATTTATATATTTATATATATTTTTATCAGCGGTTTTGTCATGCGTAAATGTCAAGCTACCATAGGGATTTTCATTTTTCTAACTAAAAACTACGTGTTTTGGCTAATGACTGCAAATTAAAAAAAACAAAAAAAATCTTAGCGACTAATAAAAAAAAAAAAAAAAAGGTCACACACCGTTATATGCGAGGGAAAATAAAAATACAAAAAAAACAATACATTGACTTTACTACCACTGCAGAGGAAAGCATTCATTGTCAGTGCTTAACTATGTGCTAAAGAAACAAAAATGGAGCTGTCGTCTACAGAGAGGTTACATTTTCCTTTTTATGATTTGCGAATTTGAGAATTAATATAGCAGGATGAGGTCGTAATGAACCGCACCAGTGGAATTCACCAAAGCCTCCGTTGCATACAAAAAAATGGAAAAAAAAAAAATCCCCCAGCATGATTTGCACACTAAATCCCATTTGTTTATAAGGTGATTAAAGAGTGTAAAAAAATTTAACCTGATCGCCTCATTCTTTACAAACCATTTCAAAATTCACTGGTGCTGTAGAAATCTGGAAATGCAGACCAGCAAAATAAAAAATTGCACCACAGATGGCTTATGAGCCCTTGATATCTACAGTGAGGACAGTTGATGGTGCCAAGGGTCTGAGATGTGTACATCCAAGCCATTATATGAACAAGGTTTACTTGGGTCATACAAGAAACATATGTCCTTACCCACAGGGCAAAGTCTAACAAAAGCCAAAACACTTGTCTCATTTCTTCCTAAGCTCCAATTAAGTACTCCAATTACACACATTAGGAGGGATTTACTAAAACTGGAGCACCCAGAATCTGGTGCAGCTCTGCATAGTAACCAGTTTCCAGATTTAATAGTCAAAGCTTAACTGAACAAGCAGAAGTTAGAAGCTGATTGGCTCCCATGCACAGCTGCACCAGATTTTGAGCACGTTAGTTTTAATAAATCTCCTCTATTCTGTTCAGATGTGAATATATAGCAAGTCCCAAATTTCTCCTTAAATATTGTAAAGCCTAGTTGTAGCTTTACACTTTAGGTTTAATATCAGGCAACACAAAATGAAAGAACTTGTCCAGAGTTATTTTACTGTTTCAGCCCAATCCCTATGCAAACGGCTGTGCTCTGTGGGAGCAATGATCAATACCTATAGTTGTCCGCATGCTCCCTGCACAGTGGTCCAATCTTCTCAGGCAGTGTGAACATTGTGCAAGGGGTGCATGGGACCATTGGAGATCTGGACCTTCGGCTCTCACACAGCTCAGTGGTCCGGATTTAAAGCATACTGCACTGAAGGTTCAAATAGGAATAGGGCAAGAGCAGAAAAAGAGACACACAGACACACACACTTTGTTTCATGCAGCCTGATGTTGAAAATGAAATAGACAAAAAAAAAAAAAAAAAACAATTGGGTTTTGGGACAAAAATACCAAGGGACCCCTGTATCGGTCTTCACAGACAAATATTTGCAGCTGCCCCCTCCCCTTGTGTAAGAGGAATCAACTCCTGTGGAATTCTGCAACTGATGTAATCCCCTGCTGCCAACTGGCTGGCAGAGCATGCCGTTCCACACTTCACAAAAGGTTTTTAGGGGGCAGATCCATAACTCCTACAGGGTCAAGGATCTTGATCTCAGTAAGAGCCTGCTGTCAGGTCTGCTTTTCCTGATAGGTAGGAACAATACACATGAAGTGCAAGAAATCTAATCGGCAAACAAAAAATCATAGCAAATTTATCTTTGTATAATGAATATGACCTTGTGGGCATGTTCTCACCAGTCCTTTCAGATAAAGGTGTTGCTTGTTTGATTTCAAATGAGTTTTTCAAACCGTGAATGCAGCATAACAAATCTGTGGGTACATACCTTTACAAAGCTGCCAGAAAAAAAAATACAAAATAGTTTACTCATGTGGACATAGTATGGGAGAGTCTTGTGTATCAATGATCAAGTCTCTCTAAGAGAAAAGCTTTTACGGCGTGCCTGAGACACAAATCCATGTAATGTTTCCTGGGCTTCAAATCCTATGCTGCTGATCTGATATAGAAGGGCATCAGGTGAATGAAAAGCCACTCATCTTGACCCAAGAAATTCGATTCTAAAGCGAACCTATACTTTGACATTCAGGGGAAAGAAATATGTTCCCTCTAATGCCCCCCTCCCCGGCAGTATACAGGTACCTTCCCTTTCACTCCCACACTGCTTTGTTGAGCTGATGCAAGAAAAAGCCAAAAGCCCCAAGCTACAATTCTTAGAGCCGAGTTGAAGTCGTATCTTACAGAGGGCTATTGGCACAATGCTATCACGTGTTCCTGTACACCCAAAGTCATAGCAATTTCCTTTGGTCCCCAGCACTGAACAGAGTGGCTAGAGAGCAAAAGAAAAGTAGGTGTTGGGATGGAGGCGTGATTAACACATACCTATTGTTTTGTCTTGGACACACTAAACAGCAAACCATTGCTTTGCCTGTCAGTTGCCTAAAAGGACTAACACGTTTTGAGAACAGCAGTAACCGTAGTGGAAAGCCGTATCATACATTTGGGCACAGTCAATCACCCTGTAACAAAATGGCTGTCTTGCAGATATCATTTGTGAAATTTGGAGTTAGGCCTCGGTCCCATACAAATTTAGGTCATAACATGGCTCCAGACAAACCAGTACCACGCCAAACCATTTGTTAGCTTTAAGCTGGCCATACACAGATGGAGTTTCTGCTGATCAGGCTAAATTGGGCCGAAACTTAAATTGTGAGTGGCCCTGTTGGCACCACCCGGTATGACAAAGTTGATTTAAAAACAGGATATGGTTGGAAAATAGTCTACCATGCACTCACTATTTGGGTATTCAGGCAATCACAGCTGTCTGAATACGAAAGCGTATGGGGGAAAATGGAGCGATTTTTCTTGTTCGGCCCACAGGACATGGCTAACTGAAGTAGATACTGCCCAGTGCCTCACAGTACTACATTACTTAGGCTACATGGGTCCAGTCAGACTAGTGGCATGTTCATCCATGCATCAACATAAAACACCTACTGACCAGCTTCTCACAGCCTTCTGCATTACATTATAAAACAACATGGCTTCAGTCAAACTAATGCCATGTCCACCCATGCATTAAAATTAAGCTGCTACTGTTCAGTCCCTCACAGCTTGCTGGACTGAAAGGCCTCTATCACCTCACAAAAACTAGACTGCCATCTCCAATAAACTAGCACACAGTCTATAAAATGTGCCCATATATTTTGATCACCAGTAGAGAATTTTATCATTAAGAAAACAAAATAAAATAAGATGCAACAAAATAAGACTCATACTCTATTTACAAGCAGGAACTCCATGCTTATGGGAGACTAACCCAACTGGCAAACCAGCGTATTAAAATACTGTACTTTTCCCTTTTAAAAACTACCACTTTTTACAGGAACTTTACAAGGTAAAAATTTACAAAATATGTGACAGCTTGATACAATTACATCATTTACAGGCCCTGGTTTTTTTATTTTAAACTAACAGGCAGTTGGGTGAGTCTTCCACTGAAGCTGGAGGCAGGCCCAAAATGTACACCCGGAGACAGTGAGATTTCAAGTGGGAAAATAATAAATAGTGTGATACACATCAGCTCTTCTTGTAGGAAGCGAAGTGGAAGGGTTTGATAGCTTCTTGTAAAGGTTGAGAGGTGTGATGAATATCGGTCTTGTATTCTTCCTTCCTCCTCTGCTACAGCATTCCATTGGAGGGCCCTACCATTGGCCCCAGGTCAGTGCTAGTCTTCATGTAATACTTCTCCAGCTTGGCCAGTATGTGTTTCCCATAGGTATATTTACGCAGTGTGGTGATGTGTGGTCGAATCTTAGAGGAACAGAAAAAAAAAAATTACTTAAAATAGTTTGTAAAACGCAAACATCGCAATACCATGCAATCCAACGCAATAATAATCACAAGTAATGTTCAGGAATAAAGCTACTAAATCACTCACTTGTTAAATCGATCTCCTTGACGATTACAACTCTCAGCAGTCTATTTACTCTTCAGTCTATCATAAATGTCATTGTCAGATTTATCCACTTTGTCAAGCTTAGTGCCCCAGGCCCCCTCTGCTAATCTTTAGGCTGGCCATAGACAAGTCGAAAAACTAACAAAATTTGTATCGATCATCAAATCATTCATTTTATGCATCAGTGTAAAAAAAAAAAAAAAAAAAAAAAGTGCAATCGAAAGTGCCTGATCCAACAGTGTTTTTTTTGTTTTTGTAAATCAAAACAATTGATGGCACAATCATATGAGCCATTTTCATTTTTCGATCAGCAGAACTTTCATTTTTTTTACTGGTCTATGACCTGCTTTATATTGACCACCACTTGCCCAGAATATGAAATTCAAAATACTAATTGTCCAACAGCCTTGTCTCAAAATATTATCCAAACTGTCCTTTCAGCTACCCTCCAGGACCTCTGTCTCCCTAGCACCCTCATCACCTCCTCCCATATTCATCTTCAGGATTTCGCCAGTGTGTCTCATCTTTTTGAACTCCCTAACCCAATCTGTCCAGCCATCTCCAACTCTGCCTGCCTTTAGGTGATAGCTGAAAAAATCATCTTCTCAGGGAAGCCTATTCAACCTCCACTTTCACTTTCTCCAATTCATTCATCAAAGTTATATTTTGTATCACATGCCTCTCCCTGTAAGCTCTCACAAGCAAGGCCCTCCTAAACGGCGCTTGAATTATACTGAAACTAACATTTCCCTTATTTTGTAAAGTGCTGCGCAAACAGTTGGTGCTCTATAAATCATGTATTAACATACTGCCTGACTTAGGTTTGTGTGCATTGGGTTTATATGAAAAGTCAGGTAGAGACACAAGAAGTGTCTTCCAATCTGGCCGTTTTTGGTCAAATGACATAAAAATCTCAAGTTTTTGGTACCAGTAGACAGCCTTAGACAACCTATCTTAAGGGGGAAAAGAAGACCAGTTTGAAAGCCAGGTCCAAGCGCTATTCTTCCTCCCAAAGTAAGCTAGAACAGCTTGTGCGCTCTTCTCTCCATAGCCATAAACATGTTCCTCTGAGCTGAATGTACTGGTTTGTGATGCAGCCATCAGTCTCTGTGTTGTTGGGCACTTTTAATTTTACAATCATTAAGTGTTCTTTACCTTATGCATGATGATTTTGCGCTGAGCAGGCTCGGCCATGTCAATCATCTTTTGCACCACATAATTTGCATACTGGTCCTTCATCATGGTGTATAAGGCACTGTGAGGACCATCATTCTGGCAGCAGATCTCATCGATGAGTAGAGCTCTCTCCGTACGGGAAGAGTGGGTGACACACTTCTCTACAACATTGCTAAGTAGAAAGGGAAGACAAATTCATTTAAGAGAAAGAAGATTTGGTGAACAGATGCACACAGCCGTTGTGCACAGTTGTGTTTGAAACAGAGTTCAGCTTCATTATAACAGTCACAGTAAATTGCTAAATGCAGACATCAGACTGATATGGCAAACAGACCACCACAGTTGCTTGTATAGTGCAATGCTCTGGCACAAAGACAGGTGCATTCATTTGTAAAACCGAAAAGGCTCCAGAGACAGCTTGGCTGTTATTTAAATAAGCAACTGTTCATGATCATCAAAAGATGAAAAATCAATAGAGGGTACTTTCAGGTGGGAAGTTTTTTTTAAGACCATTTACCTTGCAAATTTGTGCTGACTGAGGGCTAAAACCTTTCCTCTTATCTCAGAAACAATCTTGCTCTTGTCTTCAGTGCGGCCATGTTCCAATACATGCTGAATTACATAATTACCATACTGATCCTGTAGGAAGGAAGCAAGTATTAAAACACATACTTTTTTTGCATCTGTTGTGCGCCAAGAATTATATCCTCACACTCACGACACACATTCAAAAAGCCAGGGGATGGAGTGCGATGTCACGCAGTTAACACGGCTTCGGGTGACCTCTGACCCACGCATGACTCAGACACAATCGGAGGAGTACAATAAAGAATTAATGTAACTTTACTGGTTGCAGGTCCCTTTAGAGCTACCTGTTCCTAATTCAGGCAAGCTATCATTACCGCTATCTTTGTGCCAAATTCAGTAAGTTCCTTCTACAGTCACCAAGACTATGGCATTGAGAGATTCTTAAAAAAAATTACCATCAGTTTGTGGATCATTGAACTGGTGGTAACTGGGACCAAATCTGAGCTCACACACAGAGGCACGTCAGTACTCAGAGTGGTGCATGCATGTCTGTGCATGAATGTGACAGCTTCCTTCACTGGGCTCCATCCAGCTGCTGACAGGGAGATTCCCAGGACAAAAAGCGAAAAGTATTCAAAGGGGCTGAGAATACTGGTGATGTCATTACCCAAATATAGCGATGTCATTACCCAAATATAGCAATGTCTATATTTGGGAAAAGACAAGTAACTGTGTGGCCAAAGCCTGATGGGGAACTACTAAGAATAATTTCCCCTTCAGATCTGCCTTCTGATGAGATTTGGTGGATTTTAAAGCCACTATTGGAATGAAGGATCCACTCATTGCTGTGTGCTTTCAATCAGCAACAAGAGATGGGATGGGGAACTCTTCTCTCAGCTCCCCATCAGACTCTGCCCAGCACAGTCAGTGCAATGATCGCAGTGATCGACGAGGGAGCACACCGAGGAAGGAGTCCAGTATGGACACTCCAACCTCAGTGCCAGGCTTCAACAGGTACCTGAATTGGGTGCAAGCACCAACAATTTTGGGACAGTGACCCAATAGAATTGTAAAGGGTATGTATAAGTATAATAAGGGACATGAATATAAATCTTTCATTCACAAGCTTACATTTTTATACTTAAAAGGCTGAATATTCCCATTCCAACAAACCAAAGCATAGCGGTTTCTCAGTGCACATTCTACAGATTCACACATGACCACAGAACACTTCAGTGGCACAACTACTGCATCCTATTCACCACTGAAAAATGTACCCTTTGTCTTGAATTCCACTTGAAAAATAGCAGTGCCACTTTCTGACATGTGACTATGCATAGGCTCACTTGTGCTGTTCCTAAGTTTAATCATTGTTTACCATTGTCATGTGACCTGCTGTGATTGGTCACAGCAGTCACATGGTACCGGCAGCAGGCCAGTGCACAGATCAGTCATCAACTGTCCAATGGACAAAGCCGGTGCCAGATCTCGCTGCTATGTGGCCCCATGGGTGAGCGCGAGGACGTCATATGATGTCCATACGAAGCAACAAAAATCCTGCATGGCTGTCATTTTACTATAGGCCAAGTGGCAGAGGATTAAGGTACAGCTGTCTTTGAATGCTATAAAACTTAAAGCTGTCACTGAGTAATTACAGTGCAAGAATCTACCTCCTTCATTCATTTAGCGGATCTGAGCTTCTGGCAGCACTCCTGCTGCTTCTTGATCATTACCAAAGTAGTCATCAGGGAGGCAACTGTGACATAAGGAAGAAAAGCCCTACTCTTCCATCATATGGCAGACTCCAATACTCTGTAAATAAATAGTGAGAAAAAACAAAAACCTGAAGGGGAACCTATAAGTAACATTGGTGACAAGTCCTTTGCTCTATGCTTGCCTTTCTAGGGCACATCTAAATGCCAATTCAAAAAAAAAAAAAAAAAAAAAGTAATGCCCAACTGATTAACAGAAAGAACGAGGATCCTTCCTTTAAGTTAAGGAGTTTTACCTGCACCAGCTGCTCTGTGCTTTGATGTAGCTCCTCCAGAATTGGCATAGTCTGTTCCACAGTGCAATGCTCCAGTATGCGCTGTATTACTCTGCAGCCATAGGGGTGGGTGGAGAGTACATACACCTGATAGACACAAAAAAAAAAAAAAACAACAATCAGAAACTGTCCAAAGCCACAATAAAATCACAATGGAATTTTTACTGAAGACTGCCTACTGAAAATACTATTTTCTAAGCAGTGCTGATTCAAACACTTGAAGGGCCCACTCCCATAGATACAGTACATTAATGTGCGCTGCATAAAGCTTTTTTTTTTCCCCAAAAAACTTCCCTTGCAGTGGGACTCCCCCCCCCCATTAAATGCTTGTTTTAGTTTAGGGTCCCATTACATTCAGTTTTTCCTCTTATCCATCATTCCTGCAGACTCCTCCTCTCTGTGTGACTATTCCTCTGAAGTGGCTTCTCTTTGATGCTCCATGCATTTCATGCACTCCGATATCATCACGTACAATGCAGGACCAATAGTCCTGCACTGTAGGGGATGCTGGCCCACTCACAACCCAGAGCAATGCAGTGAAAAGCAGAGCGCCAGCTGCTGGGGAAACGAGGATTAATGTAGGTAAAACTGGTTCTAAAATGGTACTCCAAACAATTACAAATAAAGCTCTCAGTGAAGGGGAAGATACACTGCAGGGGTAGTTTTCATCCCCCCCCCCCCCCCCAGAGTTTAGCTACAAAGCAAACCTTTTATTTTAATCAGTCTATAAATCCAATGCAGGTAAAGTGCCCTTACAACTTTTTTCTTCCCCAAGGCAGCACACCACAATACAAATACTGTTCACTAGTCCTGTCTTGTGCCAGAATGTACTAAGGGCAGAGAATCAGTTAGAAGCCAGCATTTACCACCTAATGGGGATTAAGCGCTTAAGGACCACCCTATAGTAGATATACTGCTACAGGGCAGCACTTGTGTGCAAAATCACATATACATACACATACTTGATTTTTGCATTTCCAGATAGGAGGCGTGCGCCCTACCTGCGCCGCCATTCGTGGCCACGGATGTCAATCACCGAAGTCCCAGCCTGTAATTACCCTAATTACCCGCCGGTGCCCCGGTGATTACCAACAATCACCGATGGGGAGGAAGACTTGTTTACAGTCTTCCCCCGTCAGCTCGAGCACACTTCTCAGCCATCCCAATCAGTGTGCTTACAGTAAAGCACCGCCCCTAGTAAAACACTGCCAGCACATAGCTAACCCTTTGGTTGCCCCTCACCTAGTCCTGCCCAGTGCCATTAGTACAGTGTCAGTGCTTTTTTTTTATTTTAGCTCTGATCACTGTATTGGTGCCACTGGGGATGTCAGTGACACCAAGTTAGTTCCCTAACCTCGTGTCAGAATGTCTGCAGCAGTCCCGCTAAAAGTCACTGATCGCTGCCATTACTAGTAGAAAAAAAAAAAAAAAAGAAAAGAAATCCTAGTATCTATTCCACCATTTGTAAACGCTATAACTTTCACGTAAACCAAGACAAGTAGCAGAAAACATTTTGGCCTAAATTTACGACAAATTTGATTTAAATATTTTTTCTGGACATGTTTAATAGCAAAAAGTCCAAAATATAGTTTTGTTTCCCCAAAATTGTCAGTATTTTTTTTGCCTATAGCGCAAAAAAACAAAAAAACCCCCCCAAAAAACGCACAGGCGATCAAATTCCATTGAAAGAAAGCTCAATTTGTGAAAAAAAAAAAAAGACAAATTTCATTTGGGTGCAGCGTTGCATGACCGCTCAATTGTCAAAGTAATGCAGCACCAGAACGCAAAAAATAGCCTGGTCAGGAAGGGAAGGGGGGGGGGGGGATAAATCCTCAACAGGGCAAGTAGTTAAGCTGCGAGTCTGCATGAGTCTGATTGACATTTTTTTCAGTCATCTACAAGATTTCTTCACCAAGAACATACAAAAAAATCAGCTTTCCTTTCTAGATGAGCCATTTCATCTGCAGCACAGAAGAGGGGTTTGTCACTGCAAGGATAATCCGATTTTACTACTCCCTGTTTATGGACAATAGTACATGTGAATGTTAATGTGAACAGGATGCCTTCTGTGCTAGAAACATGCCATTTGTAAGTTTATTCAGGGAATTCATAGAACTGGTAAAGCTGTATTGCTCCACACTTTGAAGAGAGATTGTTATCAATCCAACTGGAATTTTATACACCACCTGTCCTTTGAAGGCATCAATGATGAACTGGAGAGACTGTGGCTGGACACATTCGATACATTTTTGTACCACGTGGTTTCCATTCTGATCTTTTACACACTTCAGAACATGTCCATCCAGCTCCTTCACCATCTCGCTCTGCAAAAAAAAACAAAACCTGATAAGCCATTTGCTAAAAATAAATTACGCACACAAGCCTTTAGTACCATGATGTTACACATACTGCCCAACTTCAGATACCATCTTTTAGGTGTATAATTTATGCTAGGTTTGTACTGTTGCGGGACAGCATGTAAATCACGTGTTCCCTCACCCAGAGGCAAAAACGTGCTGCTCTTTTGCTGATGCAAGGAGGAAAATGTACAGCATGAAAACCACATTTCTGAAGTTTGTTCAGACACAACTGTGTTCATTAAAGGTTCCCAATTCCACTCCTAAATAAAGGATAAGTTCACCTTTAGAAGCATGTTACATCCATATTTAGGCACACTATGCACCCAACTCCTGCCGCCAGTTGTCGCAATTTGAAAACACTGTGGCTCCTCCCACATGGCCACATCATTCATTTGCAGCTTCCTGTGAATGAATAGACTCCAAGTACCATCAGCCATTTTGGCTGACAACTTGTAGTTCAATGAACTGCGAAGCTGCTGGTGAGCGTTCTTAGTTCATCGATTCTTCCTGCCATTTAGTAACCAAGCCCATACGGGAGATAAGGGCAGATCTTGTACTGAGAGAGTCTGCATGATCCAGGCATTGCACTCATGATCTACTGATCGCGAGAGCAATGCTTTACAAGATGAAATGTATAAAAAAAATACTAAAAAAACACATTTTTTACCTGCAAAAAGACTTAATTAAAAAAATAGAAAATAAAAAAGGTGAACGTAGCCTTTAAAGGAGTAAAAAACATACCTGCTGATCTGGAGATATGGATTCCAGTGCTTTCTGAATAACCCGACACCCGTACATCTGTAAAGCCAGGGGAAGTACATGTCCGCGAATTCGTGTTGCCAGTGCCAACTTCTGATCCATGCTGCCAAACTGAAAGAGAAGTTGTGATGCTGATTCTGGATTTGACTCGAGCATGCCAAATTTCCAAACAATGTGCAAAGGACAGCAAGTTTATAGAGAAATTATTATATTCACTTCTGAATGTTTTATGTACAAGAACAGCAATCAAATTCCCCCTTGAGGTTTTAGGCCTTCCCCCACTCTATCCTAAACGTAAAAAAAACTCTGGTTGGAATTACAATAGAGCAATTGAAGTAAAAGGTATTCCATTTTAAAAAAGCAAAAACCATGATACTCCAGCATCTACCTTCTCTGCCAAGCCTGGATGTAATTTAATTTGATGCCTACAGGGTACAGGAAGCAGTACCAGAAGGTTTCCAGAACCTTCTATAGAGAACTGTGAAAACATGTGCACCAATACCAAAACAGTTCTGAACACTACTTAGGAGGATTACAAAAATAACACATCCTAATGCAAAAAATAAATAAAACTGGCTCACCTCAAAAAACTTTTGAATCACATAATTTCCAAAGACGTCAGTCATCAGCTGATAGGCTGCCTGGAGGATTTCTCCAAACACTACCTGGCGTTCTGCTGGAGTGGCACGTTCCAGCTTCTGCTGGATGAACCTGGAGGTCAAATAAATGTTAAGAATATGGTATGTGTGCTCACGCACCAACATCTCTACTTCATCTGGATTCTACTTCCAGCTCATGGCTTTTACTGCCCTACCACAGACACCAACAACTGAGATAGAAGCCCGATGATCATTCAAGAAAGAGGCAGAACAGCCGAAAATAAATTACATCTCATATTTGAGAAGGCGTCAAGTAGTGGAAACAGCAAGGTGAATCAATGCATAGGCAGCACAGTGGCTAAGTGGTTAGAACTTCCACCTAGCAGCACTAGGATAGTCAGTTCAAATCCCAACCGCAGCACTACCTGCTTGGAGTTTGTATGTTCTCCCTCTGTGCCTGCGTGGGTTTCCTACAGGTACTCCGGTTTCCTCCCACAATCCAAAGACATGCTGGTAGGTTAACCGGTTGACCCTAGGTGTATGTATGAATGTGACTTAGGGACCTAAGACTGTACGCTCCTTGAGAGTTAGGGACTGATGTGAATGTACAATATATGTAAAAGTAACAATGCTACACAATTACTTGAAATAAAAATGCATTGTTCCAAATTTCCCAACATCTGCAATGCAGAGCCATCATTCTCTGATATCACTGTATTACATGATCACAAGAAAAAAAAAAAAAAGCCCTAACCTAGCCAGGAATATTACTCTCCAAGGATGTTAAAGCAAACATTAAAGACACACCCAAGCCCCTTTGAGGAAGCCATAACTATTAATCTCCGTGCCCAAACGCTCTTGTTCGTTTTTTCGTCCAAATTGGACGTTTCTTAGATTTGATTTGAGAGTCAAGATAACATTTGTAACAGTATCTGTGGCAAATGAAAAATGGAGAAAACCAAGGACCATGCTACAAATTGGAGTAAACGTGTGTGGAAATGGGTTATGCTGCAATGCATATACAGCCCTGGCCAAAATTTTTGAGAATTACACAAATATTAATTTACCTGCAAGGAAATCACACCAAAAGTAGTGCATGCACTACTTTAGAAATCAGTGTGGTTGATATGCCCACTCTAATAGCGGACAATAGGGTGCGACTTTGCATAAGATTTGCAAGTCGCATGGCATGCAAATCACATTCCAAGTCGCACTGTGGCAGCACCCAAATACTGCAGAGTTCCCCTTTAAGCTTTAACATTTCTAAAAGCATCTGTTTGCAGAACCAGGTCATCAGCTCACTTCTTCCCCCTCATTTCCTGTGGAACAATCTAGCAGCTGACACCCTAACTTTCAGTTAATATTTTATCTAAATGTGAAACCGCAAAGGCTATATCATGAACAGCTAAGAATGTATTTTAGAGGTACAAAAAAAAGTAGAGAGGAAATATATGCACTGTGACGTAATTGTTGATATATACACCATGTAAGATGCTTTTCAAGGCACTTCACTTGCAGACACAAGTCTGGCTAGGTCCCAGCTGGTAAATAAAAAGCTTGTTTTCCTCAAGTTCATGTCCAGAATTTTCCTGGCATTCCCAAAGTTGCTATTACAGCACCTCATGTGACTGGGGGCTTAAACTTTCAAAAAGTTCCTATGACAGAGAAAGATGCCTTCTTTTATGATCATAGACCACCCACACCTAACTAATGTCACGTTGTGCTATATGTAAACCACTTGTGCTACCTCTGTGCTCATAGACCGCTCATCTCCATGGAGGTGCTGCGAGTGAAGCAGAAGTGGTGAGCGGACTGGGCAGAGAAGCTGATTATCAGCTGCAAGAGACTGGCAAATGGCCTCCAGATAAAAAGGACTTCAGGTGTCTCTAGAGTTGCCCGATTACTTTTACGGGGTACTGAAGGATTTATGGTTAACTAAATTAATTACCTGTAAAAACTCAATAACTTGCAAAGGTTTTAAAGCATTGCCCCAGGGCTTATTTTTTTACGATTTACAGGCGTATGAAAAAAAAATTATATATATATTATATATACACACACATACACACAGTTGTGTTCAAAATAATAGCAGTCAGACATCACTAACCTGATCAATCACTATTTTTGGTAGAAATGATATTTCTACATGGCAAATAATTTGCTAGCAGGTATAGTAGAGTAATAGAAATCCAACGGACCCAACAGTCATGACATGCATGCTGCTGATTGTGTAATTGAATCACTAATTGAAAGGGGCATGTTCAAAATAATAGCAGTGTGGAGTTCTATTAGTGAGGTCATTCATTCTTTGAAAAACAGGTGGCAATTATTGCCCTTAAGGAAGGAAGGCAGCAAATGTTGTACATGCTGGTTACAGTGCATTTCTCTCTGAAATTGAGGAAAAAACTACCATTCGAATGGATAGAATAGCCAAAATGGCAAGGACTCAGCCAACAATCAGCTCCAGGAAGATGAAAGAAGGTCTAAAGTTACTTGTGAGTACTGTTACAATTAGAAGACGCCTATGTGAAGCCAAGCTATCTGCAAGAAGCCCCCGCAAAGTCCCACTGTTGAAAAAAAAGACGTGCTGAAGAGGGTACAATTTGCCAAAGAGCACATTGACTGGCCTAAAGAGAAATGGCGCAACATTTTGTGGGACTGATGAAAGTAAGATTGTTCTTTTTGGGTCTAGTGGCCGGAGACAGTTTGTCAGACGACCCCCCCAAACACTGAATTCAGGCCACAGTACACTGTGAAGACAGGGAAGCATGGTTGTGCAAGCATCATGATATGGGGATGTTTCTCATACTACGGTGTTGGGCCTATTTATCTCATACCAGAGATCATGGATCAGTTTGAATACATCAGAATACTTGAAGAGGTCATGCTGCCTTATGCTGAAGAGGAAATGCCCTTGAAATGGGTATTCCAACAAGACAACGACCCCAAACACACCAGTAAACATGCAACATCTTGGTTCCAGACCAACAAGATTGACATTATGGAGTGGTCAGCCCAATCCCCGGATCTTAATCCAATAGAAAACTTGTGGGGTGACATCAAAAATGCAGTTTCTGAGGCAAAACCAAGAAATAGAGAAGAACTGTGGAATGTAGTCAATCATCCTGGGCTGGAATACCTGTTCACAGGTGCCAGAAGTTGGTTGACTCCATGCAACACAGATGTACAGCAGTTCTCAGAAACAGTGCTTATACAACTAAATATTCATTAAGTGATTCAAAGGAAAGCAAAATCTTCAAACATTTTTCAGTTTATATAGTGAATGTTTGAGTTTGTAAAGAAGAATACCAACACTGCTATTTTTTTGAACAGTCTAATATTCACTTTTCTTCAATTTTTTTTAGAGGAACACCACAAATTTTGATGTAATTTTCTTCATGATTTGTTTTGGAATAGAATGTGTAGTGTTCCCAATGCATTTGTGTGTATGAAAAAAGTGAATAAAGCTCAAAATCCTTCTGTTAGCTTTTATTTCCAAACACACTGCTATTATTTTGAACACAAGTGTGTGTGTGTGTGTGTGTGTCTGTGTGTGTGTGTGTGTGTGTGTGTGTGTGTGTGTGTACACACACACACAATATTGTGTTGGTCTGCACTAAAAACTCATTTTAGTGTATTTATTCTTGAAAATACATGCATTTGATAAATAGCTGCACAAATGAACTCATGTCTCGGTTTATATTTATTTCTTCACTAGGTACTTGTTTAAACCTGCTGCTAGCAGATACATAAACCCACCTGGAGCCATGCTGGTCTTGGGAAAACTCAACAATGTGACCAATCAGATCCCTGAGCTGTAAGTTGGGGAAGCGGTTGTTGCGGAAGTCTTCCAGCAGTCTGCTGCGCCCGGAGGGCATGATATCAGATCGGCTGTATCTTAGACGGGAGGGTGGAAAAAAGCTGGCTGCTGGAACTGAAGAAGCTAGATGTGCTAGCAGCACTGCGGTACTTGGCCTCAGCTCCAGGGGCAGCCGATATATAGCGCCCACTGCCATTGGTCAGCCCGCCTGAAAGAGTAAGCATTATTTTATTAGTTTGCATGCATAACATTCTGACACAATAGCAAAGGATAAAATACTTGTTGAAAGTATTCTTCCAGAGAAATTCATTTTGTATGTTCTAGGCATTCTGAAAATGAGTAGCTGATACTGTACTATATAGGCCTTTATAAAGAATCTTCAGTATCAAACTGAACACAACTTGATGTATGCCTCTTCTGAGATATGTATGTGCCACTTGGTATCACTGCAGGATTCTGAATGGGATGTGTCACAATGTTGTCTTGCGCTCCAAGCTACTATTTGCAGGGTATGATCATCATTTTTTTTTTTTTTTTCCACAAGCCACGGGAGTGTCTATACTAAAGCATATAAATCAGTTTTCAACATGCGTGCAGTTAAGAGTAGGGGTTTCTGCATACTAGAAATGCATTCTATATAAAAAGCTTCTTCTGCCACACACCAAAGCAGTATGATTCTGGAGACAGGCTTCATTCTTTGCTTAAGATCTAAAACCATGCAGGTTGTTACATTTTTCAACCGTAGGACAGAATAGCTGATATTTAGCTATGAAGTTCAGAGAATGGTTACTGTCCAGCGCCATAGATGTACTGCAGATGATCCCACCTAGCACTGACTGTACTGCAAATATACCAATTGTACTTAAAGTAGAACTACACTCTAGACCAGCCTCTCAACCAATAAAAAGGAACCCTTAAAATATAGTTTTCTGGTCTCAGAGAACTGCTGCTAGTAAGTTAATAAATGTGATGCCCAGTAGGAAGAGTTCTCCTTACATTTGTGGTCATTAGGAAGAATCCCCCTTAGGGTTAACTAAAAGGATCACTGGTGTCAGTGGTTACATTTCTGAGGCGCAAACATTGCTCATGGAACCCCACAGAATTCTGGCCAAGAACTGCTGCTCTACACAAAGCCTCACTTATTTTCCACTTTCCCCTGTATTCTAGTCTATCCGCTAATTTTGCCACTGTAACACATAATATGAGGTCTGCGTTATGTGAGTTTTGTTACAGGACAGGATCCACTTATAGGCCATGCTGCTGATCAACTGCCTCTGACAACATATACCACCTTAGCGGTTACATCTGGAGCTGGAAGGAGGCAATTACTGCTGTCAAACAAGTATTACAGGGGTCATTTCTTCCAGCTTGATTAGAGAAAATCGACACGGTCTCAGACTTCTCTATGGGAACTTAAATAAATTATTTCTGCTCCGAATAAGAGTGCTCTTGTATGTTGTAGGGAGAAAAAAAACTGCATGCATCTCTGGTACTGGGACAGAGGTGAATGGGTTAATGTAAAACCCTGTGTAATATAAAGATGTCGCAAATATATTGCAATATTAGGAATACTGCAACACAAACAAAAATATACTATGAAACACCAGCAAAGATGTACCCATATGCTAAACAGCAGCAATGCAGGTATTTAAGATTTGGGAAGGCTGGTTGTGGTATTTAAGTATCATCGGCTGCTGTCATTAGCTCTGGTCATTGTGGCAGTAGTAGGCAGGTGTGTCTTCTTCATAAGGGTGGGATGTGGCTGGGAGGCAGCTGAAGAATAACCAGCAGTAGTATAAATCAAGTAAAAGTATGCTTCTGTTCACTGCACACATGGTGAAGCAATGGACACAGAAGGGCACAACGCTTTTTTTTTTTTTATTAATAATAGAATACAAAGTGTTTTGCCTTTAGTTTTTATCCTGGCCATGCAGTGATTGTTGTGCAGTCTGAGGTCCACCTTGTGAAAGAATGTAGTATTGCTTTAAAGAGCAAAACAGTGGCTAACCTATACCCATCATGCTTGGCTCATTTACAAAAATCAAGTACACTCACTGAAGAGAAGCAGGGGACATCGCTATCCATGAGACATGGATATCCGCTGACCTCGCTTACGCAGTCCACATGAAAATGAGCCACTTAAAAGGGAATAGGAGGGCAGTTGACAGGCATACTACTTACCAACATGAGTGACAGCAACAGAGGAGAGGAATATCAGAGTGGGGCATGTGTGAAAGAAACAAATCAGGGAGTAGAAGAGAAGAAAAGGTAATCAGCAAAGCGGTAATGTGGAAAAGAACATGGACAGAGAGGGGTGCAGAAACTCAAGTGGCAAGTGACATGTGGGTATGTTCACGAAAGCCAAGACAGCAAAATCCTAGGAGTAGATGTAAGAGGTACATGTGAAAACCAGGTAATGGATTATCAGAGGAAGGTGATGAATGTGGACAGGCAGAGAGGTGGGTGGCACCTGCAAAACTGAAATCCAGTGAAATAAATGGGAAGCCAGCTGACAAGTTTCCCATGGCCTCTGCCTGCTCTCAGTACTATGTAATAGCACCCATACCTACTACAGTACCTTCTCATATACAAAAATATTTGATCCAAAAGAAGTTCACATGACAAATGGAAAGTTTACATGAATCTAGGACAATTAAAATTACATTCAAATCAGAACACACACAGCCACAAAACTACACAAATAAAAACTTTTTGCTTTACCTAAATGCAAACTGGATGAAGATCCGTGTGATGGGAGGGATGGTGGTGGTGTTAGTGAATGTCCTGGCGTTTGGCTTGGAAGAGGCATGCCTATTGGACTCGGAGAGGATGAGAAGCCCAGGCTATTGTAAAAGGGCTGCCCTATGGGTGCCAGGCTGCTGCTAGACCTTTTGTACAAGTCTGAGCTAGCAGACAAGGAATCTCTCCTTGAGCCACTACTACCCGTGGAATTGCCAACTGAATAAAAATAAGACAAACAAAAACCAATTAAAACACAGTGATCGAAAAAAAAGGACATCTCAATCTCACTTCTGGGAAACACATTATGAGAACAAACAAGCAATCAGAAATAAAAAGGAATATGAACACAAACAGGTAATTATATAACAAGATGTACCAATAAGTTCAAAATGCATCAAAGCCTAATAAATTAAGGATCTGATACACATTTAACTTCCACTTCTCTTGTGGAACAATTTATAAACCAGAGTGTTAGGTTTAGCCTATGAAAAAGTGAGAGGCTAAGTACCCCAAACACCTATGGCATTGGATAAAGACATAACTGGACAAGGTTTTCTAAACAGACCATTCACTATCTCTCCTCCACCCCCAACAGCAGACTGCTGAAGGGTGAAGCATCTGCCTCCCCAGCTGTGCCTGCACCAGACCAGATGCCATTAAGAGTATACCTGGGCAGTCTCTTATGCAATTTTCACTTTAACAAGAATTTTCCTTATGGTTGGTTTCGCTGAACATTTCAATATCATCAGGAGGTGTCAAAGTGCATATCAAAGCTGAATTCCAAAGTCCAATTAGAAGCATGCCACCTCCTGGACTTCTTTTAAATTTACATGTGACAGGTTTTATGTGCTCCAATGAGCAAGATAGCTGCAATTGCTGGATGCTCTGGTCTCAGATCCTTCAAGTGCAGAACCCTTTGCATTTTGCAAATGCGTTCACATAATACAAAGGCTTCTCTGAGAAGGCAGCAGGGGGAAGGGTCTCCTCTCAGAGCCCCAGTGTCTCCTCCAGGAGTGCCTTAAACCTGTCAGAGGTAGCAGGCGCCTCATTGGACTTAACTGATGGTATGCCTGCATAGTTTACAAATCGGCTGAACTCCTGGAATTCGGTCTGAACAAGTCTACCTATTCAAAATGTACATCACTAACCTATAATAGAAATGAGTGTCTTTAAAATATTGGATTGCAGTACTACAATTCACCATTAGAGTGAATACATGGTACAGTTAACATGGCAGCTTCAGAAGTGACTTAATTGTAATATCATGGATGTAAGAGCACCCAAAAACACATGGCTTCCTCAGACTTTAGAATCAGAATGGATGTCATCCAACACAATTCAATAAACCAGGCAGGTGTGCATTTGGAACTGCAATACCACTAACTATATGTAGGATTACTCATTTAAAATGGGACTCCCCGTTTGATTCCATTTCCTTCTATTACTTCATTCAGTGGGTCCCTCCCTGGCCTGATATCAAGGCTGAACATCTGGATGCAGGAACACCCACTGTGTAGGGTCCTGTGGTGACACCAAACTGTACCAGCAAGAATTGCAATAAGTGACATTTAACAAAGCAGCTCCTGTAAACTTAGGGACCTTGGGACAGGGGGCTCTTCACACCTATGCATGCATGTTGCCTAATTCGTTAACATGTGGTACCTGAGTTTATTCATTTCTAATGGGTCCTCAAACAAACATGTCTTTACTCCAATGCACTGCAACAGAGTGCAGGTTTTTCAGATAAATTGTATCCTTTGTGATTCACTGAGGGTCTTGCGTGTTTACCGCATAGATGTAGTAAAACACAGATGGGGACCCTTTGGAATGGAAGAGCACCCCCAAAACACATGCACAATGTGTGTCCACATGCGTTGATGCTCATTACAAAGCCTGTACAGGTCTAAAACTTGGGACTCATGCACACTTCATAGAGTTAAAAACCTGCAATTAAAATAGATTTAGAATTATATGTCAAATACCTACATAAGAATGTAACAAATGTCACTTTGGCACAAGTATTTATATATACTTTTCCAACTGCAACCAAACACTTGAGGTTATACAACTAAAATGGAGTTCCCCTGTGTGAAAATAATTGAACCCATATAAGGCCAAAATTATTGATTAGAGAACAATTATGAATAAACTATTGCTGTAAAAGTTGTCCTGCTTAAAACTTCATTTTTTTATGGTTTTGATAAGAAAATAAGACAGCAGCACAACAGGATCTGAAAAATGTTGATGTACTTGGCCTCGCATTATAATAAAAAAAAACAAAAAACAAAACAAAAAACACAAAAAAAAAAAAAAAAAAAAAGCAAAAAAAGGATGGTACATACTGAGCTTGAAAATGTACGTACTTTTCTTCAGATTTTATGCAGTCATTTTTATAAAGAAATGAAAGAGCTATTTTTACACTTTTTGAAGTCCTTGGTGCAGGACAGCTTTTGCTGCAATATGTTCTGGTTAAGCCGGTGGATGTCAGTGGGTTGGGGACTACATTACAAGGCACTTTGAGAACATTTTGGTGTGCACTCTTCGTTTCAGTGCATTTCTGAACAGCATCATGTAGAGTGAGGAGCTATTAAAAGTATGTGAAAAAAAGCACTGAGAAGTATGGAAAAAGCCAAAGACAGCATCAGTCAGGGCTTGTGGTCCAATTCGATTAATTTCAGCGTGAGCGCAAACTGTGCCTGATCACAGTACTCTCCATAGACCACTGAGTACAAGAGACAGGACCACTGTGGTCTGGTTGGCAGTGGTCATGATGTAAGTATGCTCAGAAACACTTGCTTGAAGCCCAGGGACACTACAGACCAGCGGGAGAGACGCACAGTTCAGTTCAAGCATGCCTAGTGTGAGTGCACTCTAAAGAAAAAAAAAATGGCTGCAATCTTCTCCTGATCTGCCTGAGTAAACGCAATACAAATGCCGTGATTTTTTTTTTGTACAAAATGCATTCACTACAGAGAACCTCTGAAGTCAGATACATTCATTATTGCCCCAAAATAAACACCTATATGGCCTGTTACCAAATCAGTAAAACCAAGGTTTTAGGCAGATTGTTTACAAAGAATTGGTGCGGTGTCTGGCCTTCCTTTTCTGCATCACGCCTTTCTTTTGAGAGCTTGGGAATGAAAGGTGTTCCTGTGTGTGAGACCTACCTGATGAACCAAAACCACCAAAGGCTGAGCCGATGGCGGCTCCCAGAGAGCTACTGCTGCCGAACCCCAGCGAAGCGTTTCCAGGTTGCCCCGGGCCATGTGAAAATAAAGAGCTGCTCTGGGAATTGTTGGTCAGAGAGTTATTCCCATAAAATGAATTGGAATGGAGGTTGGCATTTGGCTGTGACTGCTGCTGTGGCTGTTGCTGCTGAGAGGCCAGAGGGCGGAAGATACCATTTGCGGCTGCTGTAAGGCTGTTGGTTCCAGATGCTGATACTGCTGCAGCTGGAGAAAAAAAAAAAATAAATAAAATTTAAAAGCTATTTTTTTCATGTCAATTTTGCTTCCTACAATTTAAAAAGCTAATAAACTTTGGTTTTAGAATGTACACTATATCGCCAAAAGTATTGGGACACCTGCCTTACACGCACATGAACTTTAATGGCATCCCATGTCTTAGTCTGTAGGGTTCAGTATTGAGTTGGCCCTCCCTTTGCAGCTATAACAGTTTCAACTCTTCTGGGAAGGCCGTCCACAAGGTTTAGGAGTGTATCTATGGGAATGCTTGACCATTCTTCCAGAAGCACATTTGTGAGGTCAGGCACTGATGTCGGATGAGAAGGCCTGGCTCGCAGTCTCCGCTCTAATTCATCCCAAAGGTGTTCTAATCGGGTTGAGGTCAGGGCTCTGTGCAGGCCAGTCAAGTTCTTCCACCCCCAACTCGCTCATCAATGTCTTTATGGACCTTGCTTTGTGCACTGGTGTGCAGTCATGTTGGAACAGGAAGGGGCCATCCCCAAACTGTTCCCACAAAGTTAGGGGCACGAAATTGGCCAAAATGTCTTGGTATGCCGACACCTTAAGAGTTCTCTTCACTGGAACCAAGGGGCCAAGCCCAACCCCCGAAAAACAACCCCACACCATAATCCCCCTCCAGCAAACTTTACACTTGGCACAATGCAATCAAGTATCGTTCTCCTGGCAACCGCCAAACCCAGACACATCCATCGGAGAAGTGAGATTCCTCACTCCAGAGAACACGTCTCCACTGTTCGAGTCCAGTGGCGGTGTGCTTTACACCACTGCATCCAAAGCTTTGCATTGCACTTGGTGATGTAAGGCTTGGATGGAGCTGCTCGGCCATGGAAACCCATTCCATGAAGCTCTCTACGCACTGTTCCTGTGCGAATTTGAAGGCCACACAAAGTTTGGAGGTCTTTAGCTATTGACAGTTGATGACTTCTGCGTGCTTCAGCATGTGCTGACCCTGCTCTATCATTTTACGTGGCCTACCACTTCGTGGCTGAGTTGCTGTTCCCAGTTGCTTCCACTTTGTTATAATACCACTAACAGTTGACTGTGGAATATTTAGTAGAAAGAAAATTTCATAGATTAACTTATTTTATTGCACAGGTGGCAACCTATCACGGTACCACGCTTGAATTTACTGAGCTCCTGAGAGCGACCCATTCTTTAACAAATGTTTGTAGAAGCAGTCTGCATGTCTAGGTGCTTGAGTTTATACACCTGTGGCCATGGAGGTTATTGTAACACCTGAATCCATTGATTTGGAGGGGTGTCCCAATACTTTTGGCAATATAGTGTATCTACAATGTGGATTGCACATGTAAAAATATTACCCAAGCATCCATGACATTCAATATGCAAATCCCACCACTGAACCTGTGATTTCACATATTTCAGGCTTGCCACTGGATGACATACTAGCAGAAAGTTGAGAGTCAAGAACATTTGTAACAGTATTTCTATGGTGGCTAAAAAAAATGGAGAAAACCAAGGACCATGCTATAAATTAGAGTAAACGTGTGTGGAAATGGGTCATGTTGGAATGCGTACACAGCCCTGGCCAAAAGTTTTGAGAATGACACAAATATTAATTTACCTGTAAGGAAACATGTGAAGTCATCATTGCTTTGCATAAAAAGATTCACAGGCAAGGATATTGCTGCTACTAAGATTGCACCTAAATCACCCATTTATTGGATCAAGAACTTCAAGTAGAGAGGATCAATTGTTGTGAAGAAGGATTCAGGGCACCCAAGAAAGTCCAGCAAGTGCCAGGACCGTCTCCTATAGTGGATTCGGCTACGGGATCGGTGAATCACTAGCACAGCGTTTGCTCAGGAATGGCAGCAGGCAGGTATGAGTGCATCTGCAGGCACAGTAAGGCGAAGAGTTTTTAGAGGATGGCCTGGTGTCAAGACGGGCAAAGAAGCCTCTTCTCGCCAGGAAAAACATTAGGGACAGACTGATATTCTGCAAAAGGTACAGGGATTGTACTGCTGAGGACTGGGATAAAGTCATTATCTCTGATGAACCCCCTTTCTGATTAATTGGGGCATCCAGTAAAAAAAAAAAACAAAAAAAAAAAAAACACCTTGTCTGGAGAAGAAAAGGTGAACGCCATCAGTCTTGTGTCATGCCAACAGTAAAGGATCTTGAGACCATTCATGTGTGGTGCTACTTCTCAGCCAGAGTGGGTTCACTCACAATTTTGCGTAAAAACACAACCATGAATAAAGAATGGTGCAAAAACACCCTCCGAGAGCAACTTCTCCCAACCATCCAAGAACAGTTTGGTGATGAACAATGCCTTTTCCAGCACGCTGCAGGACCTTGTCATAAGGCAGAAGTGATAAACTAAGTGGCTTGGGGAAAATATAGAAATTTTGGGTCCATGGCCAGGAGACTCACCAGAACTTAATCCCATTGAGAACTTGTGGTCAATCCTCAAGAAGCAGGTGAAAAAAAACCCTACAAATTCTGACAAACCCCAAGCATTGATTATGCAAGAATGGGCTGCCATCAGTCAGGATGTGGCCTCAAAGTTGATTGACAGCATGCCAGGGCGAAATTGCAGAGGACTTGAAAAAGAAGGGTCAATGCTGCAAATACTGACTCTTTGCATGAACTTAATGTAACGGTCAATAAAAGCCTTTAACACTTATGAAATGCTTGTAATTATACTTCAGTATACCATAGTAACATCTGACAAAAAAAAAAAAAATCTAAAAAAAAACTGAAGCAGCAATGTGAAAAGTAATATTTAAGTAATTCTCAAAACATTTGGCCAGAAATTGCTGAAATAAACCTGGCTCCTAGGCTGTCAGAGAAAAACACTGCCATGTTCATGCTAGTGGCAGACTGCAAATTTATAAGTTTATTTGCTAATATATTACACTTTAAAGCATGGCAGGCACAGCCAACAAGGACTATAGGTGAATGGTTAAGAATATCAGCTTGGTTATACTTCATCTAAAAAAATAAACTAGAATAACACCCACTAGAAAATTATTAAAAAGTCTGTTGAGACTTTAAAAAAAATTGCATCTTTAACGTACACAATCTAAAATTATCAGTAAATGGAATTGGGATCACAGTAGTAAAGCTAAACAAGCTGTAAAGGACATTACCAGAAGACGACTTGTTACATACCAGCTTGTGCTGCTGCAGGACTGATGAGAACTGGGGTAGGTGCCATCAAACGCACTTGGGTTGCCAGTCCAGCCCTTGCTCCTGGGCCAACCACCAAGGCACCACTCTGATCATAGTAGGCAGTAGGGGCAAGGACTTGATAGCCTAAAAATATGTACCATATTAGCACACAGCACACCTACAAAAAAAAAAAAAAAAAAAAGTGTTGTACTAAACACTAAGTACCTGACATACTGGTGGCCAGGCCCTGTCCAAAGGCCAGGGCAGAATTAGCAGCAGCTAGACTGTCGTTCTGTTGTCCTTGCTGTCCTTGGTTTGGTGTTAGTGGTCGCTGGTTTGTGGCAGAGCGCATAACCTGCAATAAAAATGTAGGATTTAATTTTGGATACTGGAGTAGAAACACAAACGAGAGATATAACAAAATCATATCTCCATCCCTAGTCACTGTCTTAGGTTTTGACCCCACAGAAGCCTAGAGGTACCTTGGGAAAAAAGGTGCAGGTCCTAAAGATGCTAGGCTTTTAAACAGATGCTCAGGGCTTTAAACGTGACAATCTGCTTTGTGTCCACAGACTCCTGACTGGGAAAAAACTAGTGCGCACTGCAATTTAATCAATATAACCGTTAGAAACATTTTAGATTTTTGATTGACCATCTTACATTGTTTTATCCAGTGGAGAGATCTGGGGCTTGAATGGAATGTACCATTTTGAAATATTTCCCCTATTACCAGTGAAAGTTTTCTGTGAAGGTTTAAAAACCTTGTGACTGTATCACTTGTATATGCTCATGGAGCAGTCAAATGTAACCACTTGCCCTCCGAGGATTTAACACCCCCTTCCTGATCAGGCCATTTTTTATGATATGGAGCTGCATTACTGTAACTGACAATAGCACGGTCATGCAGCGCTGCACCCAAATTAAATTTGTCTTTTTCCTACAAATGGAGCTCTCTTTCCGTGGCATTTGATAGACTCTGCGGGTTTTTTTTTTTTTTTGCGCTATAAACAAAAACGATTTTGAAAAAACAAAAAAAAAAAAAAAAAAAAAAAACTTTTGCTATAAAGCATATCCGGTAAAAACCATTTACAAAAAAAAATCAAATTTTGTCATAAATGTAGGCCAAAATGTATTCTGCAACATGTATTTGCCAAAAGAAAAAAAAATCCCTATACGTGTAAATAAATTGGTTTGCGTGAAAGTTATAGCGGCTAAAAATGGCACTATGTACACTGGATTTTTTTTTTTTTTTTTTAATACAAGTAATCGCAGTGATCAGCGACTTATAGCGAGACTGCGGCAAGCATTCTGACACTGGGGCACTGGGGAGGGAACTAACAGCCACTCCCCAGTGACACCAATATAGTAATCAGTGCTAATAAAAAGCACTGACACTACCAATGACAATGGGCAGGAAGAGATTAACATCTGGAGCGATCAAAGGGTTAACTGTGTGCTGTTTTACAAACTGTGCTATGTGTTTTATTGTGTAAGCATGCGGCTTTGTATTGCTCTGCTGAGCAAAGCAATACAAAGAAGCATTCTGGTGCTGACAGGGGAGAGATCTGTATTGTTTACAAACAGGCCTCTCCCGTTAGTGTTCCTCAGCTATCGTTGGGGAATCTGTGGTGTAGAGGTGACGTGGTGGTGTCATTGGGATTCGGCCAGGTACGGTACATGCATAGTTACACTGGCACAAGATGAACCAACATATTCATGTATAAAAATATCCATAAATGGAATTCTTCTATAGAATGTTTACTTGCAGAGCTTTTTATGTTTAGGAATGTTTTATGAAGTTGAAATGTGCCTCTAAACTTGCTTAAAAAACAACAAACTAGTCAATTTCCTAACATGATTCTCTTCCTGCTTGCGTGTTGTAACCTTCTCTTCTGGGAGGATCTAAAGAATATGTAAACCCAACATATTTCTGAAATGTGCCTGCTGAACTATGTAATTTTTTTTTTTTAATACAAAGTATTCTGTTCTGTTGTATTATTAATTCCTTCGTGTTCCCTCTCCTTTCCTATTAAAAACTGGCCACACTAAGCATGGAAACACAGCATGGTCAGTTCTCCAACTATGATCAGACTTTTCCTGACACCCCCACTACACAACCTTCCACTGGGGAGATCAGCGTGCTGCTGCTTCCTTCCCTAGCTCTTAGGTAGATGAAAACCAAGGCTACGTAATAGCTTATAAAATAGGGGGGGGGGGGGGGGGTGGTTGTATAACTTTTTTTTTTTAAATCTATACAAAATTATTTATTTTATTTCTATTTTAAACTAAGTAGGTTGTTTTACAAGGTGAAGGTTTAAAATCAACCACTTTCATTTCTCTATGCTGTCCAAGCTTCATCATCTTAATACACAAACTTATGTAACAGTTAGGGGAAAACCAAAAGGGAAACAAACAACGGAGTTATATTAAAAAAACAATGTTCTACTGGTCATTACTACAGGGTCTCAATCTCCTTTTTGGATTACTTTTATTTTTTTGGAGAAGTGGTAACACCTGTGAAGAGTCTTTTTGTAGCAGGAGTACAAGTCCAAAGTAGGGAGGAAAAAAGCCTGATCAATGCAGGAGATGTTTAAGATTTCTAAGCAGCCCACAGGTGATTCAGCCTGCCAGACTAGCCCAAACCAAAATATTTCTGGGTGGATTTAAATCCATTCTGCTCATTTTACTTACCTGCTGTTGTCCCTGGGATGCCTGTGTTGCTGCCTGCTGGTTGCTGTTGTTGGCAGCAGAGGCAGCTGCTGCTGCAGCTTGTTGCTGAAATAATCCAGCTGGATACACTCCCCACGGTACCCCGTAATATTGTGGAGGAACAACCGCAGGGCCTAGAAAGGTCCAAACAAGTTCATTAGTGCAAGTAAATCAACATAGCGTGTGGCAAACACTGCAGAGATCTCGATTTTAAATTCATATTGCCAATCACACAGCAGTGCAGACATCAGGGGTTTTTGACCTTTAAATCTGATGATTCTTTAGCAGAAAATTGCATTAACTGTCTGTAAACCCACATAAGTTTTGTAAATAGTTTCCTTTTGCTTCGTAAATGTAGTCATGCAAAGTTTGTTATATTTGTTATTAGGGCAGCACAGTGGCTAAATGGTTAGCACTTCCGCTTGGCAGTACTAGGGTCACTGGTTCAAATCACAACCACGGCACCACCAGCCTGGAGTTTGCATGTTTTCCCTGTGCCTGTGTGGGTATCTTCTGGGTACTCTGGTTTCCTCCCACACTCCAAAGACATGCTGGTAGGTTAATTGGATCCTGTATAAATTGGCCCTAGTAGGTATATGAAAGTACAGTATCCCCCAGAAATGAGTACACCCCTCACATTTTTGTAAATATTTTTATTATAACTTCATGTGACAACACTGAAGAAATAACACTTCTACAATGTGGCGTAGTGAGTGTACAGCTTGTATAACAGTGTCAATTTGCTGTCCCCTCAAAATAAACACACAGCCATTAATGTCTAAACAGCTGGAAACAAAAGTGAGTACACCCCTAAGTGAAAGTGTCCAAATTGGGCCCAATTAGCTTTTTTCCCTCCCCAGTGTCATGTGACTCGTTAGTGTTACAAGGTCTCAGGTGTGAATGGGGAGCAGGTGTGTTAAATTTGGTGTGATCACTCTCACTCTCTCATATTGGTCACTGGAAGTTCAACATGGCACCTCATGGCAAAGAACTCTCTGAGGATCTGAAAAACAAAATTGTTGCTCTACATAATGATGGCCTAGGCTATAAGAAGATTGCCAAGACCCTGAAACTGAGCTGTAGCACACGGTGACCAAGACCATACAGTGGTTTAACAGGAAGGGTTCCACTCAGAACAGGCCTCGTCATGGTTGACCAAAGGAGTTGAGTGCACGTGCTCAGCGTCCTATCCAGAGGTTGTATGAGAAAGACATGAGTGCTGCCAGCATTGCTGCAGATGTTGAAGGGGTGGGGGTGGTCCAGGGCGCAGTGGTCTGGTTATATGTATTAGCAGATTTGATGACAATAAATTTAGGCCAAACTCACACTTTATAATCAGTTCGAGCTGTTTTTTCCCCATTTTGGGATAAAGGTTCTACATGAGTAAAAGCTGAT